ATAAATAATTTGCTATGTCATCAATTTTTTTCTGTAGCATCTATCACTTCTTTTATATCAAAAAAATAAGCTGTAACCCATGTGCATATGTTTACATATATATATGAGGGAGTCGGAGTCGATCATTTTTCGTACCAACTCGACAGTTCTGGTTGTGGGGGCAGGAATGACACATGTAGCTGGTCAGTGTGGCCCTAAATTCTGGTGCCCACTGCCTGTCTAAAATCTAAAATTTTTCTGAAATCCAGAATCACCGAAATTCCGATCATTCTGGATCTCGAACTTTGTACAGCATTTCATATTGTTTTTGGAGGAGAAATTACCATATTTAAAGTTGCATCTATTTCACTTTTATAAAATCTTGGTGTTATGTTATGTGATCCTTAAATGTATTTATTTTACAGGCTTTGCTGACCTTGCTGAATCATACCTTCATCAGTTTAAATGGGGTCATACTTTCCTCACTCTAAATCAAGAATTGCTTTCTTCATATGCAAATTGTACAACATCAAAGGACATTTTAATTATTCAAGATGACTATTTAAAGAAACTTCAAGATGAACGCAATGCTGTCAAAGGTTAAATGAACGTCGTTTATTTTAGATTTTTATTCTGCTATTTATTTATGTTTCTGAAAAACATTCCTTTACTAAAATTTAAGAAAAAATTTCTTAAATTTTAGTAAAGAAAAAGAAAGAAAAATTAAAAGTCTCTTATATGTTTCTTTACTCTCTTTCATGTACAGTTGACTCTTGAAATAGGTAAATTTGAATTGCAACTCTCAAATATATGCCTTATAAAATATATGTAGAATTAATCATAAAATATATGTAGATCCCTATTAGTTCTAGCATTTGTTACCAGTTAGCAAAAATTTCATCATTTGTTATATTATTATTCCCAAAAGTTTAATCTTACCAAGATGTCAGCATACAAATGCATGTAGATTTTATGACTCCAGTATCATACCCATATTTGCTAATAACTGCATAATTTAAGGCTCACCTGCATATTGTACATTCTTAGCATAATTTCTAAGTCCATGTCATTGCAGCCCCATCAGTAACTGAGTGGTTAAGACCACTGAATGCAGATAATTTGATTCAAGTTCAAACCTAGGCAAATAGCTTGGCTGTAACTTTTTTTTTGGGGGGAGGGTCATATGAGTCAGTTTTCTTCAGAAAATTCTCCATAAAAACATCCCTTTGTTTATTCAGATAGCATTCATATCCTTTGCCATATTCAAATAACATACCTAATCTAACTATATCAGTGATCCTCAACCAGTGGTATGCAAAAGAAAAGTAGGTGGTATGCAAAAAAAACAAAGTATTTTTAACTATTAAATTCAAAATGTCATAAAGAAAAAGAATACTTGATAGAAATTTCCTGTGATTGAACTCTAACTGGAGATTTAAAAAATAACACACTTGTTAACTTTGGCTGAACCGAAAAAAAAAGAATTTAAAGGCATTTCAAATAAAGCTATTAAATTTCTATTGCTTTTTGCATAACCTATTTGGGTGATCAAGGATTTTCTTCCATGTTATATTTGAAAAATAAGTACAGGACAAAATTAAAAGCGGATCCTAATTTATGTTTAAAGCTAAGTGAAGTAAGAACAGACAAAAAGAAACTGATCTCTCTTAAACAGGCCCAAATTTCACACTAAGTTTTAGAATTAAAGTATTATAATCTTAATTTTGATAACTGAAAAGGTAACCAATTTTTAATATAATATTTTTCATGTGTGCATATTTAATACAAATAGCCGATAGGTTGTGCAAATGGCAATATATATAATATTTGCATTGAGAAATTTAAAAATATTTGTAAAATATAGTGGTGGTACTACAGTTTGTTAGTTTTTTTAAGACGGTACATGTTAGTCAAAAGGTTGAGAACCACTGAACTATATTATTATAGATGACTAACCATATAAATTCATGAGAAAATTATGAAATCATATCCTGATTCTCTATTTTCTTGTATAGTTAATCAAAAAGGATAAAATACACATATATTAATTATGTTCAATGCTATAAATTAGGAGTTTCTGACATTATTAGAGAAATGCTGAGATAGACTACTTGTATATGCTGACTGCTGATGTTCATGTAATTGCCAGGACTTTTCCTGCTCTGAGAGAGGCTTTCCTTAACTCTGAGTTGACGACGAGTCGGGTGAGATTACATACAAATGAGAAGAAAACCAAATATATGTCTTTTTCAAAAAATGTAACCCTATCTTGAAGTAAACTTGTATAAATTTGAATCCATAAAGAATTTTGTCTATTTAGAATCTATTATTGCCACTGATAGCTAATTACAGAATTGGCTATATCTGAGTTTCTATGGGTCAGAAAGGTTTTTTTAGATCTATATTTCTTTAAGAAAAGCATTTGATTTACAAAACGCTTGTCAAATCTCTTTTGACAAATGCTTCTGATACTTGGCTAGTGACATTGCAACTTTTGAAAGAAAAATTCTGTGGAGTGTACTTGTTGGTATAAATGAAAATAATAGTTAGAAGAGGAGATGCAGTTTTGAGCTTTACAAGTTATATGGGTAACCTGATATGTTAAAAAGTGTAAAAAAATTAATAAAATGAATTGGATGGTTCACGTGATCCAAATGTGAAATGACAGTGTTTTGAAAAAATTTACTGCTTCTTAAATTCACTGGAATCTGAAAGCAGGGAAGACTCTGAGATGGGCTGATTCATTGGAGTCAGATTTTTTAAATTAATGAGAAGAATTGGAGATCAAAGATAATCAGAGTCATCATAGAGAAATCTTCAAAGGAAGGCATTGGACCACAATGGACTGTCTGGACTCATGATGATGATGAGAAATGCTGAATTAAGAAGTTATGGTGAAAAGCATTGATCCATATCCTCAAAAATCCAGGTTGGTGCAATAAATGAAAAGCATTATAAAATAAGATAAATTATTAATTAGCATTATAAAATAAAGATACTGTGCATATGATCTCATGAAAATTTCTTGTAGTTTTTCTTTACTATTACGTCGTTAAATTTATCTTTTTAATGACGAAATAGTAAAAGAAAAATTTTTAATGACGTAATAGTGAAATCTTTTTTAATGACGTAATAGTAAAAGAAAAACTACAAGTAACTTAATTAAGTCAAAAATCCCATGACGAAAAAGAACAATTGATAGAAATTTCCTGTGATCGAACTCTAACCGAAGATTTCAAAAATAACACACTTGTTAACTTTTAGCTGAACCAAAAAAAAAAAAGAGAGAGAGAGAGTTTAAAGGCATAGCAAATAAAGCTATTAAATTTTTATTGCCTTTTTGCATAATCTATTTGTGTGAACAAGGATTTTCTTCCATGTTATATTTGAAAAATGAATACAGAACAAAATTAAACAGTAGGTATCATGAAAAAGCCTTTATTTCTTTTCATTAATTGTCTAAGTTTCAGGTTTGAAAGTGTTTACTTTTAATAACATATCAAGTAACTAAAACTTTATTTTAAAAATGTATAATTAAATTATAAGGTATTTTCTCCCTCCTTTCCACATTCCTTCATGGTGTAATTGGAAGCTTACTTGGCATGTATTCAAGAGGTTCAAGGTAGGAGTCCCAGCAAGGGCATAGCACATTTTTCATGTCTTCTGTGGTGCCTGAACTAAAAGGTGGTGGATGATATTTGTCACCACCAGGATTTGGTAAAAGGGTCTCCTATTCCCCAGTTACCTTTTAAAAAGGGTAGTGTATAAGGTATTTTCTTCCTCCTTTCCAATGCCTTTGTGGAAGCATACTTCCACAAAGGCATTGGAACAAAGATATGCGTATTTAAGAGGTCCAGTGTTTGCATTGTGCATTTTTCCTTTATCTTGCTTCAAATACCTAATGACTCTACAACAATGATTGAAAAGTCTTCTTGTAATTTTGCTTTTGCTAAATAATTATTTGGGTGTTTTCTGTTATAAGACAACAGGATATTAAAATTTTTATAAATATAATGAATGTATATCTTTGGTTATTTCAATAAACAGATAATTAAAACAAAATGTTGTATTAAAAACTTTTTATTGATAATTCTTTGAAAATAAGAACATTTTTATATGAGATAAAAAGAAGACTAACATACATATATATATTTGAGTTGGACTGGGAGACAATTAATCTTGGCTTTTATTCTTGTGGTCTGATGTTACTTTTTTAATATATCTCCATCCATAATATCTAGGTATGTTTTCTCTTTTTCCGCCATTCTCCTCCAAGTCAGTTTTAGTGTAGCCTTTTGATTTTTTTCCTGTAAGCAACATATGACAGTGCCACTCTTGAATAGTCTGCAGAAGCTGTTCAGCTGATCATCCAATTTTTAACAGTAATTTTTTAAACTACCAATAGGAGGAATAGGAGCTGCTGCCTGTAATTTTTATTGCAGTGGATCTTTTTCAGTAAATAATCAAGTTTTATTGATTATCTCAAAATGCATAAAGAAATGCAAAGCATAGATGTCCCTTCTACTATTTAACAACCATTAAGTTCCCTTTGGAATTAGCAAAGGTTATGATCAGTTAAATCCTATGTAATTCAGAATATTTATATAAATAATTCTGACAGTTAAATGGGCAATTAACTAAAACTTTTAATTAAACTTAATGTAACAATACTGTATAATCAAATCAGAATTTGCTATACATTTTAAAAAATAACTGCTATTAATTTGTCAGCTTCCTTCTGGATGTCGAATTTTATGCAAGTCTATTTCTAAACTGATGTTAGTAATACAGAAGGCATTTTAAAGTAGCTGAATGCAAGTGACTGAAATAAATACAGATTATGAAATGGAAGCATGCAATAGTCTGTTACAAAATAAGCAATAAGTCACAGAAATTAGACAGTGGCGTAGCGAGGTGGGGGCAAGGGGGTGTATGATGACCCGGGCCCTGCTCGCAGAGGGGCGCCAAATGGTCTCCAAACAAGATTTTCATCATATCCCTGTGTTTTTTTGGGGGGGGAGGGCACCAGTTATGCTCGCTACTCCACTGAAATTAGAATATACCACCAATACCACTGTAGATTATGCTTAGTTTAAAAAAAAAAAGTGCTGCTCAACATTCATTATCATCTAATTATGGAAAAAAAAGCATTATCCACCTACTATGACAAATTTTGATTCAAAATTTTTCAAAACTTATCTAGTATATGAAGTATGTATCTAGCACAGAATATATACCAAAACACCTTTACTATTTATTTCGTACATTCAAATATACACATTTTGTACATTTTGATTTAACACTTATGATTTTTCAAAGCTAGTTCAATTTAGTAAATTAGTACCTAACACAGAATATACACCATTTCTATTTATTTCATACATTAAAAATTTTCTTAACATTTATACTTACCAAAACTGATATTTAAGAAGATGAGAATTTTTTATTATATTTATGATAACAAATTCAAAAGCATTTTATATAAAATGCATTTATTTCATTATTTTTTTGTCAATTTTTATATTTAGTAAAGGAGCTAAGCTTCCTGTACTTTTCTTTTTGTGACTAATTTTTGTGGCCAAAAGTCGCCGAACCTGGC